CAGAGCAGGTAAAATATCATCTAACAAAAAATCATCAATAATAATCTTCAAGGAAATGGATGTCTGAAGAATAATTGTATGTTGAAGAATCTCATTTATCCTTCTGTTTTGGAGATCACAACCAGTTCGAGTGGAATTGTGCAATGACGGGATTCGCAGGTCGCTCTCACCGAAAAGCGGTGGCAAATTCATCCTCGATTGACTTTGCCGAAACATTCTGGCTGAAGGAACAACATTCGATGTCGCCTCCCCTTGAACGTTTGGTTCAACAGAGTGAACTGATGGCACGTTTGTTAAAATGGCACAAAATTGATTATCGGATTGAGAATTCCAAAACAATTAAAGTTAACTTTCATGGTCTAAAATTCCAGACCAGTTGACTTTTTGCATTTGTGCTGGGAGAAATGACAAAAAATAACAATAAAATCACCACTAAATATGGCTCATCTATCTGGACAAATGGTGCTCTCTTGACAACCAACAAACACGAATTAGTACAGCGACATGACAATATTCTCTTTGTAGCCTGTGGAAACGATGTGACCAACGACGTCGATCTGCCGAGGGCCTCGCTTAGCTTTCGAGGTATACGGGGAGGGGGGTCCGCCTGTCGCGACAGCCAAACAATGTCAGAAGCGAAAATAATCTTGCATTCGACAAAACATGGCCACATCAATGTTGGGCGTACCATCCATTTCGTTTGTCAAAGTGAACTTACCGGAATCCCAGCAGATGTAAATGTGGATTTTTTAGGAGTGTCCTACGTGCTGAACTAACATCTCTATCGTAGTGACATACCTCGTAATGGCCACAAAACGGCATCGTCACTATTACAAATAAAAGAAAATGATACAGGAAGAAAATGAAGATTTCGAGGAATTTCTAAGTTTGCCATTGTAGAGCTCTCTACCATTCAGAGGAGAGTGTGCCAGGAAGAGAACCAAAGGTCAATCCTGTCGAAAGGTGACGATGGATTCCTCTTTTCGGGTTGTAGTTTGGTTATAGCGTGACATTTTGATTTAAGCAATGCAAAGGGGGCAATCAAAATCAACAGATTAGACAATGCATTAAATGTCATGAGTACCGGTTCGAAGCTAAGCAATCATACCCAACAAATCTGCATCAATTTAACTAAAAGTGTGCCAGGCATTTTGCAGATGGCGGCGAATTTTTTTGAATTGCTTATAGGAATGATACTTTGCTTTGAGGATATCGATCAAATGACAGACAAAATCTTCGCATGTATTTATCGAAATCATAGCATGTAGCCTTAGAGACAGAATCAATTTGAGCCTGGCATCAAAGACAAACATCAGCTTGTCTTCTAAAGGGAGCGAGTTTCGAATTTTGCCATAATTGAGATAGTGGAATTATGAAACTAATTAACTATGTTCACAAGCGGCTACTCTTTTTAGTTTAGTATGTTTGTGATTTTTTTCGTAAATGATGTTTTCTGACACGGATTCATTAGGATCTGCAGGACGAGCCTTATCAAGGCCTGTTCACATTGAAATCCATTCTGTGTTGCTGGTACAGCAAAGTTATCAATCTCTTCAACTAGCCGTCAACAGCAAAAAAAAGCCATAGCAACATGTTATTATAAAAATCGTGGGCCGATCTCATCTCGGCCATTCAAAGAAATGAAGACCTCGAGATAGCCCCGTTTGATTTCTGTGAATGCCAGTTGAACTTTTGTCTTTTTTGCATTCCGCTTGATGTCAACTTCAGAAATATACATCATTTTATTAACACCTTTAAGCTAGTAGATGCGAAGAAAGGTTGGCTTTCGAGTAGTACCTTGGCTTAGATTAGTCGAAAGAACTTTCATTTCGAGCAAAAATGTTTATGATGACACACACTTTCATTCGAAATCGAAGTGGGCTCAACAATCCAGCAAACTAGCCGGCTCATCCCAGTCTGAGTTATTCACTTCAGCCTCAATTCCGAAGCTCTCCATCAAGTTGTACAACCAGGCAAAGCTGGTCTCGTCTTCACGGGAACCGAACGATAGGTCATCTTGAGTCAAATCGAACAACACCAGAACAAAGTGGATCTGCAGTCGTCTGCCTACCCGTTTCGTCCCAATGCACATCACATCACATGAGCCTATTTCAGGCAATTCTAGGCCGTAGTCCTTCATCAGCAGGTCCATCCCCCGTCACCCCTTTATCTCTGGGCGGCCTAATTTGAACAATTGTAGATAATTACCGTCGCGACGACCACGACACATTCCACTTGTCAATATTTTACGAAGGCTCAATTTGACACGTGTGTACATGAGCATGCTAGATCCTCTCTTTCCAACTGACCCTCTCTCCATCGTTCGCCACCCACCCCGGCGATGGGGCCAAAATATACATTAAATAGACAATGGATAGACAACCTATAGAAAACATGTACTAAATTATGCGGAAGCCCGAGAACAAAGGGGAGGCAAAAGTCAGAGTGTCATGAAACTCCCACTTTTTGTGCAGCACACGACGATCAAAGTCGCATTAAAGGATTCACACCAGGGTATGCGTGGTATGGGGTACTGGTATGGGCATGACATTGACGCTAATATGCACAGACGGGAACCACGAAGTACAGCTGGTGGGAGCAATTATGGTGTGAAAAAGTGATGGGAAGCGAAGCGAGGCGAGGCGAGGCGAGTCCGAACGTGTGTGTATGGAGGATGGGTTTGTGGTAACTTGGCTGGAGGCAGAATCCGGCATGGAGAGGAGGAGACGGTGTCTATCCCATCCCTGTGGCATATTTAGTCATGACCATTGTCTTCTTTCAAGAACATCGATCATTTCTGGATGCCT